CCTACCTAGGTACATGTGATTAGCACCGTTTCTTTCTAAGGTCACCATATTACTCTCTCTCTCTCTCTCTAATGAACATGCGACATCAGATGTTTTGCCCAGTTGCAGCCTTAACACCCTTACAAGGTGAAGCATTGGGAGGGGCCTAAGACCAATGGGAAAAAGACAGACTCTATAGGATTTGTTCATGGATCACCATAGGAGCCCCCAAGTTCACGTGCGAATCGGACCAGCCACATTGCACAATCAATCCGCTCCCTGTCATGTGGGGCCATGAACGTGGAAAGTACCTCAATGCATCATGATGCTCCATTTAGTGGGAGTTTAAAATATTTAGAGACTAGACAATGAAATCAAACACAAGACGCCATTGTCTAAAATTAAAAGCTTCGATGTGATACCTACAAATTCTCAAGCTCATGTCATGCGTAATCAGGAGACTAAACCTAAGTAACAATGTTTGTCAAGCTTGCATATGAATTTGTGTACAAATAGGATGTAGAAAAGGGGTATGCATTTTTATATGCTTCTAAAAGTAGTAAAAGAACTGAAACATGCAATATATTATAATTCTATAATGTGATAGCAGCGAGAACATTTTCTATGGATAGAATCTGTAAACCTAGGAATCCATTTCCAAAATCTTCCTTTTGCTGGGTGACTTCTGTAATGATTTGTAGACTTTTGTATTGATGCCATTTACTAAAAAATGAAACAAGGAGCTTCCTCGTTGATTTTATTAAGAAATTGATGGTTTTCTTATAAAACTCAAATCCAAACATAAAAACAACATTGCATGCAACAAGGAAACTTAAAACGGTGAAACTTCATTCAAGCATCACTCCTACTCACAGTTTTAAATAGGCCATGTAGCATTTGGAAGAGCATCACGCCAAGCCATTTAATGCCACTTAGCGCACTAACACTTCTACCGCTATTTGCCATAGCCAACTATTTAAAACTTTGCTCCTACTTAACAACTACAACAGAGTTAGAAAAGCCTCTGAATCACATCACCCTTACATTAAGAAGTTTGAAGACCAAATTAGGCAACATGCCTCATCAACAAGTGGTCCTGCATCTGTGATGGATTCCAACCATGGCTCCTTACATAGTCGTCTTGCACCACGTTGTTGATCAGGGTCACCTACTCAATTCTTCCTTTCTCTTGGCTTTTGGTATATTGTTTTTAGAGGTTGCCCTCAGCGTAGCAAGTGCAATCTCTTATCTTCTAGCAGTTACAACATTGGACCCATTAGTTGCTCCAGCTTTCCCCAGCCCATGCCTTCTCTATCTTGGTATTAAAAGATTCTTGTGACTCCATCTCATCTTCCCCTTCCTCCTAATAGAAATGCAACCTTTTCCGACTGTCAGAATCAAACACCTGATCTAGTTCATCACTTTTTTACCACCTTCTCCAATGACATTCTCTTTGAAACATACATCTTCTCCCCCAGTTTACTTCTCCAAAAAAATCCTTATCTTCACCGCCAAGATCTTATGAGCTCTGATATTGATTTACTTGTGAGAGGGAGGAGAATTTAGCAGTATTGAGCATGACTGTGTCAAAATTTGGCATTATAACTACCCCTTGCTCAAATAAGACCACGACATGGACATCATTTCACTTGTTTTCGTCCATGAACTCAGCTTCATCTCCAGCCTTATGCTTTTTCTGCATCTAGACAGGAGTTCCTCTTACCATTCTGACCCTCGTCATGCACCAATTGCCAAATTCAACAACAAGCTCAATCTGGTAATACATATCACACATGCATAAAACTGATATAAGGCTTCACATAATATTCCAAAGTCAAAGCAAACATTTTTCATATCATGAAGAATTTGCATGTCTACACTATCTTTTTTCGAAAAGAAGGATTACCCCCGACCTCTGCATCGAGCGATGCACACAACCATTTTTATTGCATTACTCAATAAGGTCTTACAAAATAAATACATAGATCAATCCAAAATCACCTCCCTCGCAAAATTGTCGCCCTACCTATAAGATTGATGATGTGCCCTGACCATGCGTCTGAAGGAAATATGCCCTAGAGGCAATAATAAAGTTGTTATTTTATATTTCCTTATTTATGATAAATGTTTATTATTCATGCTAGAATTGTATTAACCGGAAACTTGATACATGTGTGCATACATAGATAAAACACTGTGTCCCTAGTAAGCCTCTACTAGACTAGCTCGTTAATAAAAGATGGCTAAGTTTCCTAACCATAGACATGTGTTGTCATTTGATGAACGGGATCACATCATTAGAATAATGATGTGATGGACAAGACCCATCTGTTAGCTTAGCATATTGATCATTCAGTTTTATTGCTATTGTTTTCTTCATGTCAAATACATATTCCTTCGATTATGAGATTATGCAACTCCCGGATACCGGAGAAATACCTAGTGTGCTATCAAACGTCACAACGTAACTGGGTGATTATAAAGATGCTCTATAGGTATCTCCGAAGGTGTTTGTTGGGTTGGCATAGATCGAGATTAGGATTTGTCACTCCAAGTAGGTATCTCTGGGCCCTCTCAGTAATGCACATCATAAGAAGCCTTGCAAGCAAAGTAACTAATGAGTTAGTTACAGGATGATGTTTTACGGAACGAGTAAAGAGACTTGCTGGTAATGATATTGAACTAGGTATGTGGATACCGATGACCAAATCTCGGAGAAGTAACATACCGATAACAAAGGGAATAACGTATGTTGTCATTATGGTACGACCGATAAAGATCTTCGTAGAATATGTGGGAACCAATATGAGCATCCAGGTTACGTTGTTGGTTATTGATCGGAGAGGTGTCTCGGTCATGTCTACATAGTTCTTGAACCCGTAGGGTCTGCACGCTTAACGTTCGATGACGATTTTGTATTATATGAGTTATGTGATTTGGTGACCGAATGTTGTTCGGAGTCCCGGATGAGATCACGGACATGACGAGGTCTTGAAATGGTCGATAAGTAAAGATTCATATATTGGACGATGATATTCGGACGCCGGGAGTGTTTCGGGGGTACCGGATACATATCGGGTCACCGAAAGGAGTTCCGAGCATCCCCCGGCAACTACATGGGCCTAATGGGAGAAGAAGGGGACAGACCAGCCCCTAAGGGGCTGGTGCGCCCCATGTAGGCCGAAATAAGGGGGGATGAAAGAGGGGAAGAGAGAAAGGAAGGGGAGCAATTCGGCCTTCCTCTTCCTTCTCTCCTCCCTCCTCCTTCCTTCCCCCTTCGTATGAATATGGAATGGGGAGGCCGAATTGGGAGGCGCCCAAGTAAGATTCCTTCTACTTGGGGCGCCCCCTTGGCTACCTCTCCTCTCCTTCAATCTATATATATATATATATATATATATATATATATATATATATATATATATATATATATATATATATATATATATATATATATGAGGAGGGCACCGTTAGAACACACAACAGCCAACAATGATTGTTAGCCGTGTGCGGCGCCCCCTTCACAGTTTATGTCTCCGGTCATATTTACGTAGTGCTTAGGCGAAGCCCTGCACGGATCACTTCACCATCACCCTCACCATGTTGTCATGCTAACAGTACCCTCCCTTGACACTTTGCTAGATCAAGAGTTCGAGATACGTCATCGAGCTAAAGGTGTGCAGAACTCGGAGGTGCCGTACGTTCGGTGCTTGGTCGGTGGGAACGAGAAGAAGTTCGACTACATCAACCGCGTTGTCAAACGCTTTCATTTTTGGTCTACGAGGGACGTGGACACACTCTTCTCCTCTCGTTGCTATGCATCTCCTAGATAGATCTTGCGTGATTGTAGGAATTTTTTTGAAATTGCATGCTACGTTTCCCAACAGCGTCATGCACACCAAAAAATTCGATGGCCTCACCAAGCCACCCGCCAGCTAGCCGGGGCACCAATCGGTTTAGCAGACTCTCAATGTGCACCGCATGTGCATGTTGTAGAATCCATCGCCACCTTCTTCCGCACTCTCATCTTTAGGATCAATCAATACACTGATCTTGCTAGATTATTCTGCCGTTGACGCCATCACGATGCCAAAAAAAGTTTGCCTTCTGTATCCAACATTAAGACCCCGCTGCGCCTTACTGTCAAGACTCGTCATCGTTAATATTGTAGATGGCACATCATTCCATCTTGATCATCGCACACGGAACATATGAAGATCTGCGCCCAACCACCAAGCCAAATATTTTTTCCTCCAGCCGATGTACCCCAAAAAGATACCCTATAGATCCCCAATAATAGATCCCACATGGGAATTGTCTCGTCTCCTTTAGCTCATCTTTCGCTTTCAGCCAGACTATAAACTTTTTTTCGTTGGACACAACGTCAATCACAACTCTCTCCAATTATCTACCGATTATATTTGAAATGTATTAGATCCAATATTTTACATCTTATATTATGGGGATGGAGAAGAATGACATTTTGGCTCTCGACTTTCATGGAGGCCAACTTCAAAAAAAAATCAGGTTTAAGCTATTCTGAAAAAATTGTACAACTAAACAAGGATGTGAGGCGTGTGTGTAAAATTTTAGGATGAAATACGTTAAAATGCGACCTACACAAAATAGACAAATGACTGTTATGTGGGATGAATAGTATTATATGTTAAAAAGGCTGAGATTTGTCTTTTTTGCAAAGCCCTCATTTCAGCGTATTTGTCCTGAAATTTACGCACTTGCACTCTGCCTTCATCTATCTCTGTATTTTTTTCAGAATTTTTTGAAATGTAAATATATGAATTTTCATAAATTTTGAGTTTTGCATTTGAAGGCCTCCATGAGCTCGGCCTCCAAAAGCAATTTCCGGGGACGGAGGGAGTAATTCTTTTTTATTTATGCTATTTTGCTTGATCATGCAGACGTGCAAAAACACCTTTCTACTCTAATTTATATATATGTATACAATATATCATAGCTATCTGCATCGGGATACATAACTTTCCTTCAAAAAGAAAACGTGCTCATCTAAACCCCGGGGGCTTGAATATCTGGAAATCGGACCTGTGAGACACTAGCACCAGCAGCAGAGCCACAAGGGCCGCGACGCCCCACGGCGACGTGCCGGAGCCGCCCTCGGGCTGGCCTCGCCATGCCGCCGGCACGGCAACCCTCCCCTCTCCGTCGAACAGCACGTGCTGCGCGAGCAAGCCCAGGGCGAGGAGCCCCAGCACCATGAGCACCCAGAAGCCTGCCTGGGTGCGATGGCGCAGCTGCTCCTCGAACTCGTCCATCTGCCACGACAGGTAGAGGAAGAAGGTCACGATGCCGGTGACGGCGAGCACCGGCGCCGGCGGCAGACCGACGGCGAGCCAGCCCTGCTGATACTTGCCCCCCTCGTCCATCGGAGCTTAATTTGGGACGTGTGGTCTGGGATCCTCAGCTATGCGTGTGGTCATGTGTTTCGTATCTGCTGTGTGCCGGGCAGCGCCGTTATATGGAGAGGGCAGGCCGGAGAGACGTGGACGGCCAGTGCGCGCTTTGCTTTTGTGGCCATGGGGAGTGGAAAGCTGGTGGGTGCCTCTCGAAGAGAAAGGCGGCACCGCGTGTCTTCTCTGACGGGAGCTTTCGAGATGGCTACGAGTCAGTCGGCGGTCGGTCGCTGGCGCCTTTTCAGGATTCCCCAATCTTCTCCGGATGCTCTACTTTGAGGGAAAACCGTTCATTTCTTCGGTTGGAAACCTACCCGTGAAAGAGGAAGAAGGGATTTTTTTTAGCAAAAGAAAGAAAGGACAGAGAACCTGAAATATCGTGCCGACTTTTTTTTAAAGGAAATATCATGCCGACTAGGGCTGATCACGCTGGACTCGGCCGGGCAACACAAAAGGCCCAACCTGGAAACACTAAACCCAAGCCCAGCCCAGCCTCATGAAACATTAAAAAAATATCGAACTAATTTTTTTGCGAATATATTGAACTAATTATTTAAATGTTGAAATATATTAATATGCCTATTTCTGAATAAAAGGTTTGTGAAAAGGCAAGCAAAATCACTAATTAAGAGTATCTCAAGCAGACCCTGTATAACGCGCGAAACTCATAATTCCGGCGAGTATACAGGCTCGACCCAATTTACTGGCCAGAACAGAGCCCGTATACTCGTCCGGCCCGTAATTTTTTTTACTGCTGCCCGCAAATCTTACCCCCAAAGCCGTATAACTACGGGTTTGCGGGACAGATACGGGTCGAAACCCTATTCCCCCGCCATCGCGTTTCCCCGCGATTCCCCACTCCCTCCGTCGCATTTCTCGCTGCCGGTGAGCCCAGTTCCGCCTCCAGCCGCCATGTGGGGCGGTATGTGGAGCTCCGGCTGCAGCTTCGGCGGGGGCGACGAACCCGAGCGTGAGCGGTGTGTCCGCGCGGACGGCGTGGGGAAGCGCACGGCCAGGAAGTGGACCAACCAAGGCCTCCAGCCGCCGGCAAGGCTCCTTCGTTGCGAGATGGACGAGTACGACCGCCAACACGGGAGGACGCCCTCCTCGGCCGCGGGCTCTTCCTTTGCCGCGGGCACTTCCTCTTCCGCGTGGCTCACCTCCGGCGCGGCGCTTCTTCCCGTGAAGAGGGAGCCGGAGGAGGGCGAGCTCATCACCGTCAAGCGGGGGGCGGAGGAGATCCCGCGCCGAGGCGTCATCGGTCCCGAAGATTACGCCAGCGGCGATGTCGAGGCGGTCACGGCCGTGATTGCCGCATGGAGCTTGCAAGAAGAGGAGGAGGAGTGCCACCGCCATGATGAGGAGATCGAAGAGCTCGTTTTCAAGCAGGCAGTCGCGGCCAACCTCACCGCGAAGGACAAGGACGATGAGTGGCGACGCGTCCGCGAGGAGCAGAAGAAGATGTACATTGACCTCGTCAGCTCCGACGAGGAGGACTGGCCAACGACTGAGCTCCTCCGCTGCGTCGGCCTCGCCACCGCGAGCTCGTCCATTTTGGTAGCCGCCGCGAGCCCGGACCCCCCCCTCTAGTAGTAGAATGTAGTATATATGTAGTATGTATGATCTATGTAGTATGTTGTGATGAACTATGAATGATCGGTGTAGTTGCAATTTCTCCCATGAAAGTTTTTTTTTAATTATACAGTTTCATATTTGAGAAAAAGGATTTTCCCCCGCTTTATATTATAAAGCAACGAGCCAAGCATCCAACACAATAGTAGAAAGTACAATCAAGTCATAAAGTCACGCTAGGGGCACAGCAGGACAAGCCCCAAACGAAGCTAAAAAAGCTAATCCGACTCGGGAGGTGGTGGCGGTGGTGGAGGAAAAGCCGACGCGAGGAACGAAGACCCGCAATGATGTTGTCGGTGACGTCTCGGTCGCGCTGCTTGCTAAGCGGTCTTCAGAGGTGTAAGAAGCCACACCTTTTATAAATTGCATCAGTCACACGGCACGGAATCACGCGTTCGATGACTAGTTTATTGCGGGCACACCAGAGGGTCCATGCCAAGGTACCCAAAGCCACCCAAGTGGGGACGACTAGGGCCGGGGAGCCTAAGGACCTCCCCAAACAAGTCCGGGAGGTTGTCGTGGCACCAATTTCCACCAACCACCTCCCGGAAGCAGCTCCATAGGAACTGCACTGCTGGGCACCGGAAGAAGATGTGGTTGTAGTCTTCCGGTATCGTACAAATGGGGCAGAGGCCGTCGCCAGGGCCATTACGTTTTCAGACCTCTATGCCCGAAGGGAGTCGGCCTCGGACCCGTTGCCAGAGAAATATGTGGATTTTCAAGGGGATTTTGATCTCCCTAAGCACCAATAGTTCCACCGGGCCAGGAGTGGGGACAATCGCCTAGTATAGGGACCTAGTCGAGAATCTGCCGCTTGGCTCGAGATGCCAGGACAGCGAATCGGGCTCAAGGGAGGGGGAGTGGAGGGCAATACACTCAAGTAATTTGTCCCATTGTTCGCATGATTTCATATACGGAGTCTATTCTGCAGCACATGATTTGGCCCCGCAAAACAGATCTTTCTCGAACTGTAAACGCATTATGCGGGTCGGCATTATACGGGGTCTACTAGAGATACTCTAAGAAGCACTCTTTGCAACAGTCACTCCCACCTTTCAGATTGCAACAAGTGGCGCACAAGTCGCAACTTGGGAGTTTTCCCTTTTTTCGTCGATCCTTTTATTTCAAAAAATTATCTCTTAAACCGGGGGTCCAAATTTGAACCGATTTCACCCTTGGTTTCCTCACGCCGAGATCTTCAAAACTAGATTCCATGTTGATAGGTTTTGACGAACATTTTTCATGAAAAAACTGGACGAAAAAACCACACCAGAAGCATTTTTTCTTTTCGAAAACCGTTTCTGAGAGGCACACTCGCTGAAGCAAATCGGTGTCTCTCGCGAAAGTAAAATTGTATCTTTTGCGAAAGAAAAAAAACACTTTTCTTTTTTGAGAGTCACGGCCGTGCCTCTCGTGGAAGGAAAAGAAAATGAAAACGCGTTTTCTTTTATGTTTCTGAGAGGCACCCATACCTCTCGCGGAAGTAAAACCGTGCCTCTCTGAAAGGAAAAAACTTATTTTTTTCGTCTCTCAGAGGCATCGTCGTGCCTCTCGCGGAAGAAAAAAGACATAATTTTTCCGTTTTCGAGAGGTGCAACCCTACCTCTCGTGGAAGTAAATCCATGCCTCACGAAAAAGCAAAAAAAAGCATATTTTTTCAAAAAAATTGTTCAAAAGTTAAGAAAGACCGATGAAAAACCAAAAAAATATTTAAAAAGCCGGAAAACAAGTGCAAAACAATAACAAAACAAAATTCAAAGGAAGCACTAAAAGTGCGACACTTAGCGCGCTCTCAGCCCGCCCCAAATAACCCTTGGGAAGGCTTCCGAAGAAGCACGAAATCACTAATTAAGGAGTACTCGTTGTAAAGAACACTCCATTTTCCTCGGTCGCGACAAGTGGCGCACATGCAGCGCGCCACTTGTCGCAACCTGGGAGTTTTCCCTTTTTCGTAGATCCATTTATTCAAAACGTTTTATCTCTTAAACCGTGCGTCCAAATCTTGAACCGTTTTCACCATTGGATTCCTCGCGTCGAGATCTTCAAAACTAGATCCCATGTTGATAGGTTTTGACGAACTTTTTTTACGAAAAAACCGGACGAAAAAACCAAACCGGAAGCACGGTTTTTTCTCTTTTCGAAAAAGGCACGCCTGTGCCTCTCGCAAAATCACAACCATGCCTCTCGTTGAAGCAAAACCGTGACTCTCGTGGAAGGAAAAAAAAAACAGAAAACACGTTTTTTTCGTTTCTGAGAGGCACGGCCGTGACTCTCGCGAAAGCACAACCGTGCCTCTCGCGAAAGAAAAAAAACAGAAAACACGTATTTTTCCCTTTCCGTGAGGCACGGCCGTGACTTTCGCATGAGCACAACCGTGCCTCTCGCGGAAGCAAAACCGTGACTCTCACAAAAAAAACATAAAAACGTGTTTTGTTTTTCCCTTTCCGAGAGGCACGGCTGTGACTCTCGCGAAAGCACAACCATGCCTCTCGTGGAAGCAAAACCATGACTCGCGAAAGAAAAAAAACAAAAAACGTGTTTTTTTTCGTTTCCGAAAGGCACGGTCGTGACTCTCGCTAAAGCATAACCGTGCCTCTCGCGGAAGAAAAAACGTGACTTTCGCAAAAGGAAAAAAATGCGTTTTTTCGCGCAAAAAGAAAAAAATTGAATTTTTTTTATCGAAAAGCTAAGAAAGACTGGGAGAAAACCAAAACATCAAAAAAAACCAAAAAAACCGTTTAAAAGGCCGAAAACGCGTAGAAAAAAAAGAAAAAAAACCGAAAAAAGCGCGACACATAGCGAATGACTGAGAGCGCGCCAAGTAGCGCTGATCATTGCGAGGCTCCCGAAGGAGCGCTCGTTAACTAGTTGCTCCCCGAAGGAGCACTCCTTCTTTAGTTGCTCCCACAGGGGAAGTCCTATTCGGCACGAGGGACGAATTAGAGCAGGAGCGCTCCCATGCCGCTAAGCGAGTCGTAGCTGAATAGTAGTCACTCTATCCGTTTGGTACACTCGCTCGTGTTTTTTCTAGTTCACTTTTGTGAAAGAAAAACACTACACCTGCCAGTTACAAAAACTGTCTCTATTTAATATGGATTAGAGGGAGTAATAGATTTGAAATGTTCATGAATTTTCAAAATGTTTGTGACTTAAAAATTTTCATGAATTGAAAAAGTTTGTGAAGTTTCAACATGTACTTGAATTTTATAAAAATTTGTTCAGAAACTTGAAATATAATTTACGAATTTTAAAAAATATTCATAAATATAAAAATCTCCATGAATTTTAAAAATATCCACCAATTGTGAAGAATGTTCATTTTTGTAAAAAGTAAACACGAA